GGCATTCACTGGAAGTCCTCTGTGCAGCGGGGGTTGCTGCTGCTGCTGCTGCTGCTGTCGCTGCTGCGTGCCTTCAAATCGTTTTCCACTTATGGCAACCCTAAGGGGGAGCTATCATGGGGGTTTCTTGGCAAGTTTCCTCAAAAGGGGGTTTGCCATTGCTTTTCCCTGAACCTGAGAGAGTGTGACTTGCTGTGGGTTTCCATGGCTGACCTGGGATTTGAATCCTGGCCTTCACAGTCATAGTCCAATGCTCAAACCGCTGCACTGTGCCGTGGGGGTTAATCGCTTGCAAATAGGATCCCAGCCTAAGCACGTTTATTTGGATTTAACCAAAAATCAGTTGGCTTCCATGCATTATTAAGACTGGGCTAAGAAAATTTAGGCAGGCCTGCCACTGGGTTGCTTTGCATTAGATTACCGTACATTTGATCATTGGCAATGGACAGGTAAACTGACTCGACTGGATTGCTTTACACTTGAAATGAGAGCAGCCAGGATGTTCTGGCTTCCCCAGGCCATTCAGGCATGCAAGATGTCACTTGATGGTGTGGCTATCCAGCGGTCAACCCATCTTAAGGGGCTGCTGCCATCAAGCAACCACAGGGACATATTTTCCATGTGAAATATGGTGACTTCCAACAAGTGCTCAAAGTGGCTAGTTAGCAGCACAGCAGAAAATATTCAATATATGTTTATTAGGACTAGGAGTGAGGAGCCCGTGGCCCTTCATATTCTCTCCTATCAGCTCTAACTATTGTAGCCAATAAGAACTGTAGTCAGCAGCATCTGGAAAGTCACAGGGCTCCATTCCTGATTTGGACAATGCAGTTTCTCTGTGACTATAACAGAATCAGAATCAAAATAGCTGCTATTGCTATCTTTGGTTCCAGGTCTCAACCATCACACAGGGCAAAATGTGGCCCTCTGGATGCTCTCAGAATGCAACTCCCGATTGGGACTAGCCACCATAGACAATGATGAGGAATGCTGGAAAATGCAGTTCAACAACATTCAGAATAGACCTTGCACAATAGACCTTGCTGTAGGCCAGAATTAAAGATACCAGCTGCAGCTTGACCAAACTTACGTAAGTAAATCTTTTTGTGCAGTTTCATGAGAGGTGGACCCAGTCTCCCCTTCCTAATCATATATCCATGTAGGGTGCTTTGCATGGTTCTCTTGATGAGTGGAAGACCACTGAATAGCACAGCATCTGAGGTGGCAAGCCTCCATCTGTAGGGTTAGATCTGTCATGGCTCATTGATAGATACACTGAACAATGAACAAGCAGTCTTACAAAATGGGACTACTGCTTTCCCATTTTCCCCACTGCTGCTTTCCCATTCTGACTGGATTTATGTGGCACATGCTGCACAACCCATCCAATACAGTATTCATTTGGAAGGAAGCCTGACTGATCTTAAATCACTTTTTGCATTTCCCAACTCTGTAATTTAATAACAACCTCAACTGGTCACAATAACCGGCCTGAGCCAGTCTAAAGGTCTCAGGGGGCCGCATCCAGCCCCTGGGCCTTAGGTTGCCTACCCCTGATTTAAAGCATTGAAAAGGTATGTATTCCAGGCTAAAAGTATTATTTGGATCTTTACTCATTTTACATAGAGGTAAACTGCATTGATTTCAGTGGAACTTACTTAATTTAGAGTAAAACTGCCTATAACTTGTCAGTGACAGACAACAATAGGGGATATTAACAGCATGTCTATGATTTTTCTTCTTAAGGTCCCTTTCTAAGAAACCTTGCACAATATTTGTTCAATTCATTTAAAGTCATACTTTAACTCTGAACCATCTTTGCTTTGACAGATAGTAGTATTCTGACAGTTTCTTAATGTTTGGGTTTTAGAGTCAGAAATCCATTACTGTACAATTAAGGACTCACATTCAACTGCAAATCTGTTTTACCCTCATGCAGAACTAGTGCTAAAAACACTTGTAAATCTCATGCATATATGTGACTCAAGCAATCTTAATTTAATTTGCCCAGCAGTTTGAAATCTCACCAGCTGGATCAACTACTGTGGGTGTAGGTTGGTGCTTGTAATCCCTGTTATTTCATCAGAGCTGATTAAGCCTACTGGCTATAGCAAATGAAGAAAAGCTTTTCAGTTAGAAGTGGTGGCTAAGCTAAGACTGTTTTCTAAACAGAGCACAATGTAAAAGTCATGAAAGGAAGGTAAATGTAGTTTAACATTCAAATAAATGCAAAAATGCTCATAGATGGGTAGTACAGGCAGAAGCAAACTGTGAGCAATGCACACTGTTGGAAATCCCAAGCTCTGGCAAGATGGAATTTGTGTGAGTCCAAAACCAGTACATAGATATCAGGTTAAGAGTTCTGAAGAACTCTGCAGTTTGCACACTTTGCTGGCATTTTTATTTGTCCTAATAAAATCATTGTTTGACTTTGCTTTTTTTATCATGGAACAACGCAGACATTGTTTTGGTTTTAGGTAAGCAACTGATGCATGACACTCATCCAAGTCTTCAGTGTGCTCCTGCCATATTTTGAATGTTCCAGCCCAGGCACAAACATTATTCCCCAAAGTATAAGAAAGAGCCAGCTCTGTTCCTCCTGTTCTCCTCTGTCAGGCCAAGTGTGCACGGCTCAGATAGAGAGAGCAGACCTTATTTATGTCCCATACCTATCTGTGTGTCATAGAGTTTGAAAACAGAGTAGTCTTCGTCTGTAGACCTTACATCACTTTTGATGCACCTTCTGTAAGGGTAGACACACAAAAAATCTTGAATGTTTTCAAGGAATGACGGGTCCTTATTAACAGTGGTTTGAAAAGTCACTTTTTGGACTACAGCTCCTAGAATCCCACTCCCATGTAGTTCCTGATTTAGGGATTCTGGGAGATGTAGTCCAAAAGGTAAATTTTCCAAGTTCTCCACTTGTTCTGTACAAGATTCTTTGCACGTCTGTACACAAATATAGGTGAATTCAAGGTTGCTTGGTGCAACCCTAACTAGGAAAAACTATAGTATTTTCTACTGGAGCCAGAAAGGGCAGGAATGGAAGAATATGTGGGCAGTTTTCTCCTGCTTAAATAGCTCAAAGGTGGTGGTGGTGGTGGTAGGAGGCAATGATAGTCAGTAGCAACATGTGGGGTTGCAGACTGCCAGAAATAGTACAAATTGAGTCCACTTTTAGGGTTAGAGTTAGGGAATCATGGGAACAGTACTTTATTGTGGCACCAGAGCTCTCTGACAGAGAAGGCTCAATGTCTCAGAAAAAAAACACAATTCCCATGATTCCCTAGCACTAACCCTAACCCTTAAAGTGGACTCAATTTGCACTATTTCTGGCAGTCTGCAAAGGCCCAAAGTTTTCTTTTTATCAGCGTTTCCTCCTCAGCATTTGTATGAGGACTGAGCGCCTCCCTCCCTTCCTCCCTCAGCGTTCTTCTGTAGTTTAGCAACTTTGGCCTTTTGAAGGAAATCCCACTGTGTGGGTGACAATCCCAGGTTGCATTTTTGGTTTTGCCCCCTCCCACACTCCCTGGCTTCACTTGGAGCACACGACAGTGCTGGGCGAAACTTGGCACATTATTCCCTGGGTGTGGACTGGTAGTAGCGGTGCTGGGAGGCAGTGATGTTTGCACACAAGGTTTCATTCACAGTCTGGGCCCTCCTAGCAAGCCTTTCCCTGATCTGAGGGCAGGACAAGTCTACAGCTATGCCGGTCGGGGCCAGATTAAGACTTTTGGAGCCCCAAATACTTAAACCTAGCATAGGAGCAGGGTGGCATATCAGTTTGAGTGCTGGACTATGACTCTGGAGATCAAGGTTCAGTTCCCTGCTCAGCCATGGAAACCCACTGGTTGATCCTGGGCAGGTCACACACTCTCAGCCTCAGAGGGCAGTGGCAACCCTCCTCTGAACAAATGCCAAGAAAAGCCCACGATAGGTTCACGGCCATAGGGTCGCCATAAGTCAGAAACTACTTGAAGGCAGGCAAGCGCTTGGAAAGAATTGTTGGCACCTCCATAAATACCTAATTCACAATAATAAACTGTAAAATTATTATTTGTATTATTTTTTTGAAGATGGAAAATAGTAAAGTTTATTTTTGTGTAACGTTTTCTCCTTACATTGTGTGTGTGTGTGTGTGTGTGTGTGTGCAAAATTTGCAAAAATTTGATCAGATCACAAAACTTTTGTGGTCCCTGCCACCACCACCCCTCCCTTTTATTTAGAGTTTTTATACCTTCCCTAGGTACATGCTATAATAATAATAATAATAATAATAATAATAATA